ATCCACTCACCTCAGCCTCCCAAAGGTGCGGGATTACAGGCTGAGCCACCGAGTCTGGCAGTTTTGCCTCTTTAATGATAAAATTGGACTGGTAAGGGAACTCTTAAAGCAAAAATTTAAAAATGGCTGGGCTTGGTGGCTCAGCCTGTAATTCCAGCCCTTTGGGAGGCCGAGGTGAGTGGATTGCCTGAGCCTGTGCATTTGAGACCCACCCGAGCAACTTGGCGAGACTTCTTCTCTACAATAAATAAATTTAAAAAAATTAGCTGAGTGTGGTAACATGCACCTGTAGTTCCGGCTACTTGGAAGGCTGAGGCAGAACGATTGCTGGAGCCCAGCAGGTCGAGGCTGTGATGGCTGGGGGCATGCCACTGCACTCCAGACTAGGTGACAGAGTGAGACTCCAACTAAAAAATAAATAAATAAAAACAAAAAGAAAAAAGAAAACAACTACTCGGAAGGCTGAGGTAGAAGGATCGCCAGAGCCCAGCAGGTCGAGGCTGCGGTGGCCGGGAGCGGCCACTGCACTCCAGTCTGGGCAACAGAGTGAGACTCCAACTCAAAAAAAAAAAAAAAAGAAAAAGAAAACAGATCCTGTAGAATATGCTTATCTAGATGTATGCAGACATAGTTCACTTCCAATTTTGAAAACTTTGAGTAGTGTCTGGCTGTCTCTTCAGTGTTTTTATTCCAGGGAGCCAGTGAATTTCAAGAATTCATCTAATATGAAGTTTTCAAAAGGACTTTAAAAAAAAAAAAAGATCAACGGATGGCTGCCTTTTCTGTTGATAAGAGAGAATTGAGACCTTTATTCTGATTCCCTAAGCTTTGTCTAGGGAACATAATAAACAATCCCTGGGTAACTAAGTTTTCCCTGAAGGTTTTGGGGAGTGCCAGTCAAGTGGTTAGTCATTTGGGGAGGCAACAGGGCTCTTGATGCAGAAAACCTGAGACTCCTATAAATAACAATTAGGAGCAATTGGATCATCTCACTCCTTGTTTTGGACTTCACTTGAGGCAAAACTAGGATTCACTCTTCTCCCTTTGACTTACCTTTGGAGCTGCATGTTTCTTTTTTTGGCTTTTTTTCTTTGTTATTTTATTTAATTATTTGTTTTAAGTCAGGATCTTGCTCTGTCACCCAGGCTGGAGTGCTGTGGAATGGGATCATGGCTCACCGCAGCCTCTACCTTCTGGGCTGAAACAGTCCTCTTCTTACCTCAGCCTTCCAAGTAGCTAGGAGTACAGGCGTAAGCCACATGCCTGGCTTATTGTTGGATTTTTTTTGAGATGAGATCTTGCTATGTTGCCCAGGCTGGTCCCGAACTCCTGGACTCAAGTAATCCTCTAGCTTCAGTTTCCCAAAGTGTAGGGATTATAGATGTGAGCCACCATGCCTGATCTATTGTGTTTTTTAAACTTAATTTCTTAAATTATAAAAATAATTAGCTTTAAGCTTAATATACTAAATGTGTTTGTGTGAGTCTAGAGGGTTTGTTGTAGTATGGTATGTTTGAGATGAATATATGTAGTATGAGCCAGGCTCGGTGCTCAGCCTGTAATCCCAGCACTTTGGGAGGCTGAGGTGAGTGGATTGCCTGAGCCCGCGGGTTCGAGACCTGCCTGGGCAACTTGGCGAGACCTCATCTCTCAATAAAATCAAAAAAATTAGCCAGGTGTGGTAGCACACGCCTGTAGTTCCAGCTACTTGGAAGGCTGAGGCAGAAGGATCACCAGAGTCCAGCAGGTCAAGGCTCCGGTGGCTGGGAGTGGCCACTGCACTCCAGTCTGGGTGACAGAGTGAAACTCCAACTCAAAAAAAAAGAAAAAATATGTAGTATGATACAGAGCATTTTTTTTAATCAATATTTTTTATTTTGATATTGTGGGGTACAGTTAAGGGTTAGGTATACAAATATGCTTAAACAGGTGTCTCCCCATCTCCAGACAGATGTTTACTGCCATTAGTTCCATCCCCCCCGCTTTTTTTTTTTTAAGTGCATTTCCTTGCCCTTACACTTTCTGTGGTTAAGCTATTAGGAATTAAGACCTATTGAGGAATTTATGTATCTTTCAATCCATATGTAGACTAAAAACCTTTTTTTTTTCAACTTGGAGACATGGAAAGAGTACCAGATAGGAAACCAGACCTGGGTTCTATCATGCCGCAAGTATTTAAGTCTTTCATACTTTCTAGAAATCAGGTATATGATCTTCTTACGTTTTTCTCTCTGTTCCTTATTGTTTTTATCTGTAAAATGAGAGGATGTATTAGATACTCACCAAAGTCCTTTCTTCTCCTGAAGTTCTATGACTCTGATTCATTGACAGTTTTAGGAATTAGTTACTATATTAATAATTTAGTATAACTCCCCATAATTAGAGATGTGACATTTTTACTAACAACTCAAGGATTGTAAAGGCATAAATAAGATGTACATCTCTCATTTTTTACCATTTATGTTACAGATCATTAATAAAGTTTTCATCATCTGTTAACTTACCCTTTGCTCAGCTTGGGGTTTTGGCTAAATGATGTTTCTCTTTCATGTTAGTATGCCTGTTAGGATTCTACTGTTGTGTGTGGGACAATAGTGCTAATTACTGTGTTTTAATACAACTTGTCAGAAAATTTGTGAAACTACAATAATGCCATGTTTTTCTGATAGAACCTAAGGGAGAATACATGTACACTGGACCACATAAGATAAAGGAAAGTACTTTTTCATGGGCATAGAAGTAGCAAGAAAAAAAGAAAAAGAGAAAGAAACATTTTAGAATATATATGTCAAGGTCCACCCACATGTGGGGTTTAGGCTAAGGCCTGTGAAAGAGAACTAGTGTGTGAAAGTAAAATACTAGACATTATTTCTCCTTAGCCAGTTATCTAAGATGTCTGCTTCGTGGAAGTAGGGGAGATGAAGTTAAAATGACGATACTGGGGTATTTGGGAAACATTGTTGATCTGTTTGTAAGGGGATACTGCAGGCTTCCTGTTAATTTTAAGCTTACTGTTTAATTATATTACTGTTTTATTATGTTGGTTACATAAAGCAGAAAGTAAGAAGACTTAAATTTCCATTTATTCATCATCTAAAACAAGGAAAGAAAAAGTTGATAAGTATATGTGTCTTATTTTTTTCTGATCAAAAAGCTACTTATGTGGAAGTTGCTGTTTCTACTATGCATTTTGAATATTGATACCTTACATGTCATAAACTGACATTTGTTTCTCTGATATTGTAGCACTTTTAAAATACAATGGTGGGCTGGGTGCGGTGGCTCATGCCTGTAATCTTAGCACTTTGAGAGACCGAGGCAGGAGGATTGCCTGAGCCCAGGAGTTCAAGACCAGCCTGGGCAACATGATGAGACCTTGTCTCTACAATAAGTAAAAAAATTATCCAGCCATGATGGCACATACCTGTAGTCCCAGCTGCTTGGAAGGCTGAAGCGAAAGGATGCCTGAGCCCAGCAGGTCGAGGCTGTGGTGGCCATTAATGGACCACTGCACTTCAGCCTAGGTGACAAAAATATTTTTTCAGGTGTAAAATAATATTCCTGATAAAAATGTATTTTATATGTTTATGCTGAGAGTTGACTCATAATATTAAAAATCTGAATTCTCTCTTTCCCCTAAACCTTGAAGTTTATTTTCAAAGGAGTATCAAGGAGATAAATGATATAATGTGATATTACAAGTATGTGCCTTGGAAATACCAGTAATTTTACTCATTCGAGATTATTCTAACTGACAGTTGGGAGGTAGGACCTTATTATATATAATTATGTTTTAAATACATGCTTGATTTTACTGTGGGGTCTTGGTAACAGTCTTCTGGCACACTTCCTGAAATCAGCATTGCTAAGATGTTACTGCTATTGGAGAATCTGGCTGCAAAGCTATCTGGCTCATTGGGGAACATCAGATAAGCTCAGATTCTCAGCTTCTTTACTATTTAGTATCACAACTGAAAAATCTCAAGGTCTGTCATTTTAAAAACTCCACTAAATGATCCATGGCTTCAGTGTAACACTGATTTCTTCCTTCATATTTCTTGAATCTGCCGCCTTTTATTTTACCTTCATTACTATTCTCTTAATATCAGCTCCCATCATTTCTCACCTGGACAATTTAGTAACCTTGTACTTGGTGTCCCTGCAACCACAGTTCTCATGAATTATATTGGCTGGACTTCTTTCATTTCTTTCAAAT